AACATAACAGGAGCAATACATAGAACTGTAGGGTGATATACTAATTATCTAAAATATTGCATTCCAAGCATAAATACAGATCATAACAGAACCTAGTCAATAATATAGATCCATTTCATTACAAAACTGAATGAAGAGAACAGAGGTTTCACACAGTAATTCAGGACTATGTTGGCTAGATCCTACTGAAATATACCTTCATTCTTTATACTTATATCTTAAGTGCCTTGTTGCTGCATACTTGGAAGTTAGGTGACCTCAAAAGAGTGCCTGTGGAGATGCTATATTCAGATCAGGCAATCCTCTAACAGCAAATATTAAATGGATGAACACAAGATTTAGGCAAGCCATACAACTGAGGAGCATGTATTGCATGCCTCAAAGCAAAGCTCTACAGGGCTTCCTAGAAAGCCATAGTGGAGATGCCTTCAAGCAGAGAAGAATCCAGCAGGAAGGAGACTGGGTCAGCTATCAAATTTCTTGCTACTTACCTCCTGCAGACCTTCTTCTTTGCTCATCTGCAGAGCTTGTAAGGCCACACGGATTACTAGAGTAACATCAGTGGTCCCTACATCCTTGGGGAATCTTTCCAGGGAACAACGTCTTGTACACAACATTAGAGACACTTCTTCATTCATCCATCATTCCTGACAGCACTGTGTTTAGAAATCCAGCCTCATCCTGTACACCTCCTTGCCAGCTATGTTACACACTGAAGTAGTTTGACTATAACAGTAACAACCACAGCAGAAATTTACTGGCTGGTTGCAAGTTGTCTACAACTACCTGAAAGAAGGTGGTAGCAAGGCCGGTGTCAGCCTCTTTTCCCTAGTAAAAAGTTATAGAACACAAGGAAAAGGCCTCAAGTTGCACCAGGGGAAGTTAGATTGGATATTAGGAAAAAATTTCTCCACTGAAAGGGTTGTCAAGGGGCTGCCCAGGGAAGTGGTGGAGTCACCATCCCTGGTAGTATTTAAAAGTGTAGATGTGGCACTTAGGGACATGGTTTAGTTTTGGACTTGGTGGAGTTAGGTTACCAGTTGGACTCAATGATCTTAAAGGTATTTTCCAACCTAAATGATTCTATGATTCTGTGAAGATAATCAGCACAAATAAGTAGGCGAAGTAATCAGTTCTAGTAGTGAACCAAACATTTTCTAAATTGTTTGGTTCGGGCAGGCACTAAAAGATCCTTCCACGCAGAATGGGTGATAAATAAGTCAGCACATTCCATTTTGATCTGCAAATACCCCTTATTTTTATGCTTTCAAGAATGAAAGCTAGAACTGAAGTCATATCCATTCATCAATATTATCATAAAAATCACATCTACTAAGGAGTCCTAAAGGTCTGTTCTTTATACCATATCACAATGTGCCTCTCAAAACTGCAGTATAGCTAAGAAATGGACTCTTCAGACAATGTATGTTGCAAATGCTTTGTCAGTCAGTGCTGAACAGTCCTTCTGGAAAAAGCATGAAAGAAAAAAATCGGGGGGGTTGTTTGGGGTTTTTTCGGTTTGTTTTTTTTTTTAAAAAAGGGAACATAAGTCCTGGCATCCATCATTATTTTCTGCTAGTCATTTCCACATTTGAATAGCCCTCAGAATAATATTTTGTCTCCTTCCATATCCTAATGAAAGCCTGCATAAAACACATGCTTGGAATTCACAGGTACTCCATTTGCAATCAACTATATACTTCAAAAATCAAGCCATTATTTGAAGCCCTTATTAGTAAGAAATTACTGTCTTCTTCCTTTGAGGCACCTGCATTAAGATTCAAAGGAAAGAACCAAATCCAACATATCACAGTGCTGCCGCACCTCTTACTCAATAAAAATTACAGAGGCTCTGCTTCCCTAGAGAGTCTCAGGGCTACCAATTACTCAAATAGTTAAGGCTTATATTGTCCATTAGAGAAACTACATTGATAGTTTATATAATCTGTGTAATCTACCTACCTAATCATTGCTAATGTTAAAGATTGCTTAGCATTTCTATTTCAGCTTCCTATATTTTTTTGAAATATCAGTTTTGCATAGTTCAATTATTTCAGATTTCATTAGTTCAAAAACTAGTACTCTACACAAGCTTTCCAGAAAGAGAAGTAGCTTTTTAAAAGAGCAAAAGCACACTGTGGTTCAAATTTGGGAAATTTTCTCCCTGTAAGCATTCCGAAGTGCTTAGTTCAAAATTAAGTTTCTGTTTTCAGCTAATATTCAAAAAGCGGACCCAAATTATGTCAGCATAGCAGTGCACACATTTATTAGAAGTCCAGCTTGCATTTAGAGCGGTACTTGCATGCAGAGACAGGAATGAACAACTGCTTTATTCTGCATGGAAAAAAAACTGTCCAAACCAAAACTGCAGGTGTTGGCAGACCTGTACCAAGCTGCAGATTCAAGTTCAGCCTGGATCAATTGCACTATCTACAAGAGAAGGGGAAAAGGTGACTGTGCTGACTCCCCCTTATATTCTAGGACCAGTTATCTATCTCACAGTCTAAACCACACCACTAGGCAACAAGACACTTGTGGCGCAGTTCCCATACCAGTTTTTAACTGAAACACAGTAACCTTGAAAGGAAACAGATTTGTTCCCTCACAGGTTATACCTATAACCCATTCCTTCAGAAGGTGGAAATTATTCTTTAAACCCAACCTCTGAATTAGGCAGGGAAAGATTTGAACCAGAGTCTTCCACATTGAAAACAAATATCTTAAATCAGGAATTAAGATATAATAGTTGAATACATACTTACCCTCTTTGTAACTCAGCTCTGTACTTATCAATTGACAAATCAAAACCCCCTCACTAGAGTAAAACAGTCAAAATAATTTATTTTCCTTTCCTCCCCAAATTTTGCCAAAAGTCCCAAGGAAGAATGTCTTTGGATTTGGATCAACTCTGAAACCTTCTATTTTTTTCAGTTTGGTAATTGAAGAAATCCATTATTTTCACATTTCAGTATGCAAGTCAAACAACTTCACATCCAAACTGGCGATCTACATACCCGCTTGCACTCACAGATCATCAATTCAGCATGGCTTTAAACTCTGCTTTTGAAGTTAAAACCTTGTTTTCTAATGATGTATATGATATTATACCAGTGTATTAATTATCTTTCCTTTCCAACTCTTCAACAGGAGCTTTGCATTTTACCTGAAGTGAGAATGTAAGAAGTCCTAAACTGGACATTGGAACAAGATTTTTCCCCATCTAAAGGGGTATCTTAGCTACTAGGCTATAGGAACTAGCTTCAGCTTGCTTGCATGCTTTCATTTTGACCCCACAAATCTCACAGTCCCATAAAGTGACAAAGCTACTAACAGGTAAAGGAACAGACAGAAGTTCCTAACTTTTAGGAGCTAGGAGTCCTCTGCAAGATTTATATGTTATCATTTACACAATGAGAGCCTTGATGCTGCCTGTAACCTCAAAGCTCCATATCATTCCCCCTCTGCAAACAACAAAATAATTAATTATAATTTAATAATCTGAACACTAAACCATTTTACCTGAACTCTTGCACAACACAAGCCATAAAATCTCATTACCTTATTTTTGCTGTGTCCAATAGCAACAGTTGACTAAACATCTTCTGGAGAGCCACAGGGCAATGTTCAGTCAGGACTCCACATAGTCACATTTTTACTGAACACCAGGGTTGAAGCCTGAAGAAATCTACTCAGTAGAACAGATCCCCTGATGTGAGGCTGCCTGTATGACAAAGCAGCACAGCTGCTTCTGCAAACTCCACTTCGAATGAGACTTGCATTACATTTCTACAAAATGTTTCAGACAACTTTTAGAAGACAGGTTCCATTTGGTACTTACAGAAGCCGCACCTGGTACCCCCTTCAAAGATGAATCCATTTGGGACAGCTCCATACCGACGCAGATCTGAGAGCTTCCATTGCCCCATGACACTAGGAGGAAGGTCTTTTACAAGGACGAGAATGTCATTGCAGAAATGCAGGGTAGCAGGCCCAGTCTCTAGTTTAGTGCCAGGTGCTACAAAGACTTGAAATAAGTCCCAAGGAAGAACGTCTTTGGATTTGGATCAACTCTGAAACCTTCTATTTTTTTCAGTTTGGTAATTGAAGAAATCCATTATTTTCACATTTCAGTATGCAAGTCAAACAACTTCACATCCAAACTGGCGATCTACATACCCGCTTGCACTCACAGATCATCAATTCAGCATGGCTTTAAACTCTGCTTTTGAAGTTAAAACCTTGTTTTCTAATGATGTATATGATATTATACCAGTGTATTAATTATCTTTCCTTTCCAACTCTTCAACAGGAGCTTTGCATTTTACCTGAAGTGAGAATGTAAGAAGTCCTAAACTGGACATTGGAACAAGATTTTTCCCCATCTAAAGGGGTATCTTAGCTACTAGGCTATAGGAACTAGCTTCAGCTTGTTTGCATGCTTTCATTTTGACCCCACAAATCTCACAGTCCCATAAAGTGACAAAGCTACTAACAGGTAAAGGAACAGACAGAAGTTCCTAACTTTTAGGAGCTAGGAGTCCTCTGCAAGATTTATATGTTATCATTTACACAATGAGAGCCTTGATGCTGCCTGTAACCTCAAAGCTCCATATCATTCCCCCTCTGCAAACAACAAAATAATTAATTATAATTTAATAATCTGAACACTAAACCATTTTACCTGAACTCTTGCACAACACAAGCCATAAAATCTCATTACCTTATTTTTGCTGTGTCCAATAGCAACAGTTGACTAAACATCTTCTGGAGAGCCACAGGGCAATGTTCAGTCAGGACTCCACATAGTCACATTTTTACTGAACACCAGGGTTGAAGCCTGAAGAAATCTACTCAGCAGAACAGATCCCCTGATGTGAGGCTGCCTGTATGACAAAGCAGCACAGCTGCTTCTGCAAACTCCACTTCGAATGAGACTTGCATTACATTTCTACAAAATGTTTCAGACAACTTTTAGAAGACAGGTTCCATTTGGTACTTACAGAAGCCGCACCTGGTACCCCCTTCAAAGATGAATCCATTTGGGACAGCTCCATACCGACGCAGATCTGAGAGCTTCCATTGCCCCATGACACTAGGAGGAAGGTCTTTTACAAGGACGAGAATGTCATTGCAGAAATGCAGGGTAGCAGGCCCAGTCTCTAGTTTAGTGCCAGGTGCTACAAAGACTTGAAATCTATGAACTATCAGATAAGGAAGAAAAAAAAAATTACTACAGAAAATAGAAGGTACCATGACTTATCTTACATAAGTCATCCTGTTCAGCCGTGGTACATGGACCAACCCCTGCCCACACCACGAGGCTCTAGCATAAAGATTCTAAGTAGAGTCCAGACAGCCCCACGTGAGTAACTATAAGCTCATTACTCTAGGATTGGAAAAAACATAACTTGGCTTAATGCTATAAATTATTAAGTTGTAACGATACACTAATTTATCCTAAGTCTTCTGGGCTACTCCCTATGTCAAATTAGTCAGTTATCCAGCCCACACTTCAGTTACCTCTTCCATCCTTGCATGGGTTTCTTTCTGTCTCCTCCTCCAAACAGCCTGCGCCCCTCCCTTCTTACATGCATGCACACACACACACGTAACACAGTGCCCAAGAGACTAAAAGCCAAGGCTCGAAGAAGTAGGCAAGTTCTAACCAGAGCTCTGTCACTGACTCATTTTCAACCTTTAATAAACTGCTTCACTCCTTCCCTAGCAGTAAAATGGGGAAAATTTCATTTTCCCACCCTTGTGAATCTTTTGGGAGTTGGCAATGGTAGATGCCCAGACATTTAAAATGACTAGGAAATTAAGTCATTCATAGGTAATAAACACTCTTAGATGTCAGTTAATTCTTCATATTTCACAGCCTGAACTTCAGAAAAGGGGAAAAAAAAAAAAAAAGAAAAAAAAAGGAAACACCTGTCTCATACAAGTTTACAAAACTCAGGTTCAAATCCCAACTCTAGTATCCCCTATATTGCAAGGGTCCTTGCCTAAAGTAGCAGCTGTTCTAGGCTGGACTCCCATCTTCTCCTCCAGAGCTGTTGCATTCTGAATAATAAGTTATTGGGAGCACTTCAAGGGCTCAAATTTCAGTGTTTCAAAGGGAACAATTTAAGTGAGCAAGCACCTAATTTTCAAACAACTGTGTTGGACCTCCACTACTACTCTAGTTTCTTTCATCTTGTGATTACACAAAAAAAAAAGAAAAAAAAAAAAAAATCTGTCTTTGCACAGAGAAGCATCAGGACTGTTACATTTCCAGTCAGAGGTTTTCAGTGGAGCATTTATCAAGAAGCAAACAGATTTAGCTCCTGGTTGTCCATTAAAGAACATACAAAGAGCTACCTGCCTATGAAATCTACAGGGTAACTTCCAGGTAGTCTCACTTCTTACAGCCACTCTTCCCTGTTTCTTGCCTATGGCTCCTTCAAGCATCATGAATTTCAGCTAGGTCCGAGTCTTGCTTCTCATCGAAATACTTGCTATATTCGTAGTTACCATCTTAGCTGTAAGTCAACTCCTCATCTATGACATGTATTTGGTAAGTTCCCTAAGGCTCCAGCAGAATTAGCCACAAAGTCATTCAAGTGAAATGTGCAAGGAGACAGAGATAGTTCTAACTAACCACAGCTCTACTTACAGCTTTGCCAGTAGTACTGCTAGGAAGCAAATCAATAGTGATACGGTATCCCCTTTTGGGCATGCAGTTGTTACACAACCTGCTTAAACGTAAACTATGAAAAGGATACCAAAACAATCTTGATGAATAATGTTCAGTAAGCAATCTTTAATAACATTTGGACCTCTCTGCCCAGTACTTTGCTGGCAATTAAACCATGGGAGCAAAAGCATCAGGGTTCTTTCTGCCTCATAAATGAGGAATGGAGCACACTCGTCTGTTGCTTAAAAGTTGCTTAGGGAAGCCCAGAATGCAGACACGGTCTCCATAGGTGTAGGGTGAATGCTTCCACCTTTATTCCCGAGTACGGGTATACTTATAGTATAAGCAGGGTTCACGTGGCACAAGCAATAATTTCATTGGTCTTAACACACTGTCCACGTGCTTCTCCTCAGACAGTGATGGCACCTGTAATACTCCTCATTGGTTTAAGCTTTACTGTCCACGTGCTTATTCTCAAGTAGTGATTGGGTGTATAAAATAAAGCACACAGCTATCTTAGTTTCTACTTGCGGTCAGTACATTTTTGTCTTATAGCTTCTTGGTTGTTTCAGTGCACCAAGGACACGCTGTTTACAAACCCTGGATTGTCCACATATTCCCATAATACTTTGTGGCCCTGTTGTTCAAGAAACCCCTCTACACTCTTCACACAATCAGTTGCAAGTTACAACAGCTGCTGAAAACAAAGAGCTGCAGCTCAGATTCTAGACCAGTGTTAAAATACCCCAGCATATCCAAATTTGAACAAATACAACATGGAGTGAAAAACATCTGGACGTGAAGCTTTTGCCATATTCTGCTTTCTTGGTAAATTGTAATTTTTTTTTCCAAATGCCTCCCAGGCCATCTACTTCTGCTCAGAAAAAAATAAATCAATAAGATACATAGCTGAATACACTCATGAACAAAATGTGCTATTTATGTTCCTCATTTCCTTCAGCTAATCTTTTCCTCTTCACAGCTATTCACTGACCTGCAGTATGCTAACTTCCTCAGAAATGAGCTGTGGGCTCAAGCACTCTTCTCACACCAGAATTATACTTCAACTCACTTAATTCCACTGTTTTCTCTAACCCTGGTTCTTTCATTCCAGAAATCACATCCAACTCATCTGCTAAAAACAGAGGGAAAATGCTGGGAACTTCAGTGCAAACACCTCTATTCTGCAGTCCTCATTCAAGAACAGCTTCAAGTCCTTTCACTTTTTTTTTCCCCCCTCCTTCCCAGACTCTGAGGTCATCTGTCCTTAGTCTATTTTTATCATCCAGCCACCTTACTTCCAAGGCACACAAAGGCATCCTTACTACGCTTAAAGAAAACACACCAGTCTCCATCCTCTCTTCATGTAAGTCTCCACTCTTTTCTGTCTAGTCAAAGTAGATTAACTTTAACTTGGCTTCTTTGTCCTAACTGAACCTGCACTGAAAGATAAAATCCTGAACAAATTTTCTGTACTCTGGTCTGTCCTCCTTCCCTTGAGCTTTTCTGCAATTAGCATTCTATAAACTATTGCCAGTTCACCCAATTATAATTGTTCTCTTCCTTCATTTCTTCACCTCCACATACACTCTCTCCTGCTCCATCTTTACTCCATGGTTGCATACATCTTCATACAATAGGCTCTGTTCCTAGTCACTCATATATTTCTTTTAAAAAACTCTTTGCTGCTTCTGCATTTCTTCCTTTCACAACCATAACCCTCACACCCAGATTGAGATTAAATACTCTCTCCATCCCAGCACTGCACCAGTGCAAGATCGTGAAAACCAGACCTTCAGGTTTTAGACAAGTCTGTGCTGTACAGAGATCCCAAATCTAGTGAATAAGTAGAACCAGAACACAATACAGCTACATCAAAGTGTACAAACTACTCCAGCTACTCATGCCTGTATTGTTCAGAAACCCCCTCTAACCTTTCCCCTGATGCAAGGCTTCGTAGCTTGATAGCTCCAAGTGGTATATCCATACAACTCTCCTCTGATACTTCTATATTTTATTACAGAAAGATGGCCTGGGAATCTTACAATGTATGTACTGCAAAGGAACGAGTCCAAAAATGCAACAGATGGCAAAGCATATGTAACAAATGATTAAGATGGCTAATGTGTGTCTCCCACACACCTACCCTCCTTCCCTAGTTATGACTAAACAAACATAAGACAGATACTATGGATTACCAGTATTATCACTCCTTATTCACCACTGTACATTTTAGAGCTGCTAACCAAGAAGATATAATAAAAGGATGTATAAGAGCGAAGTTAGCTGGAAAGACTGTGTCTGATGACGCTCCTTATTGCAAGATGTCTCTTCCTGAAAGGGGACACTAGCAGCAATAAGCATTACCGATGTGACATTTAGTAGGCAGCTCAGAAAACTGGGACTGAATTAGCCAAGTTCTACTCTGGACTCTGCTTCTCTTAACTCAGGCTCCCTCTGAATCCTGTTGTCAAAATCCTCAAGTAAACTGTAGAAGTCTGATCACTTTGCTTCAAAGCTACACACTTTCAGTGCCAAAATTAAGAACCAAATTAAGAGCTCTCACAGTTAGCCATCAGTACTGTAATCAAAGCCTACCATAAGGGACACCTGATTTAAGATGCAAGGGGAAGACCAGTCTCTTCGCTCTCAAATGAGCGACAGTCTCTTCCTTAACTGTACTTTGTTATTTGCATTTTAGCTATGCTTTTCTTTGCTTTTTTTCCTCCCTGGAAAAAAAAAAAAAAAAAAAGTGAGAAAACAAAGGTTACCTTCCCCCAAACTGTAGCGGATTCGTACATCCCACGCATACATTGTTTCCTTGTTCTCAAATCCCAGCATCACAACTTGAGAGAGACAGATGATTGCAAGCGTGTGATTCAAGCCCTCATAGGAGAGCCCAGGATCCAAGCCACAGATGTCTTCTAAGGTCATGCTGCTCCTCTCCTTATGCCCTTTTGCTCGTTCAGATTTATCCTTGTACACCAGCATGAGCAAACAGTCTAAAAGAAGCAAAACTGTCAGAGATGATGAGGCAGAACACAGCACATAACACATTTCTCAGTACTCTGCTTCAATACAAAGGTGCTTTAGACAACGGCAGGGTCAGGCTGATGAAGTCAATGTAAGAACTCAGTTTCCTTTTCCTACCCCCAGGTAGTCTGCAGTCCTTGTTTTCAGGGAGAAAACACTGAAGGCATATTTCAAGGGTAATCTGCAGGTTCAGAAATAAGGAGGCAAGTAAGAAGTCTTCCCTATTTTACTTTTCAAAGATCCAGTGGTTTTCTAAATACTCTCCCAAGTCTGGAAGGGACTGACTCATTAATTCTGAACATTAGGAGTTACACTAAGATAGCTGTTCACATTACAGACACTGAAGGCAGAGAGGCTATTGTCATCTCTATTTCCATTAGAACATACTGAACCACAAATGAAATTCTTACAGTACTTCACAGATTACTCAACTACTAAACGGCGAGCAGACTGCCCCGCCAGATTGTTAGTGTCAGCTCAGGTTTCCTAGTTAAATGTTACACGGTAGCCATTGCTAAATAATCATTATGTGCCACACCTACTTTTTTTTTTTTTAAATATTTGCCTGTGTCACCATTTGTTTTTAACCCCTTCCTAGAGGTGTTTATTACACAGTAACTATGCAACGGAAGAAAGTAATTCAAGTGCCACAGTCCCATGGGAAAAGCACATTGCACAAGCAAACCCAAAAGACAAGAAAAAGGTGACAGACCCCTCCCACCGTTTGCATTTATAACAAGAGCACTCCTCTTCCCCCAGGTTCCCCTCCTATCACATAGCACTCGGTTGTAAATGAAATTAATGGTCAATATCAAAGCTGCAACATCCACAGCTTAAGCTGACCTACATACCACAAAGCAGAAAGCCCCCTATGCACCATTTTATGAATGTTGGGGTGTGGTGCTGAGCCCTGGCGAGGTGCCCCATGGCTCTCAGCTGGGCGAAGGACTGGCAAGTCTCCAAAGAGGTGAAAAATGACTGAAAGATTGAACCGTCTGCTAACTAAAGCCAAGCTTTGCATGGACTCCCAATTGTTTTCGTGCACCTGTTCACAAAAAACAGCTGCAACTATGATATTTAACATTCTGCAATACAGTTGTGTGACCGAAGAAAGAACAACTACGAGACCGAGAAAAGCAAATCACTGTTGGTTTCTTTTTTCCTGGTAAACCTGGCTAATTTTGCTAGAATAAAAATACTACTTTTGAGGAATAAGGTATATTATCAGTCAGTAAGTTTTCAAAGCAGGCTCACTCATTTTCCCCTTCCAACTTGGCTTACCTATGTTAGAAATCCAGGCCCATATTCACATGTCTAGATACCAGCTCTGGGATCAACAGATGCCCATTCACGGAGAGAAGTTTAAGAGATTCAGCCAAGATACGGGCATTTAAGACACTAACACATAACTGTAACAACTCAAGCAACAGAGTTAGGTCTGATGAGCTTCAATTAACACGAAACCTTCACTCTACCAGCAGCAACCTAGAAGAGACGCCGCACTCCATTCTGCAGCCATGCAGATTCACGTTTTCTGAGCATAGGCAATATTTAGCCCCGGAAAGTTGTACTTTTGGGCCCAAATGCTTTCCCTGTTAGGAAACGATGGGGAAACCTGAAACCTACTTTTCTCTCTCCTGCAGTAAAACATCAGCTCTACATAACGTTTTCAATTTCCCCCTCAGAAGCATGGAAATGATTTTTTTTTTTTAATTCAAAATGTCATTTTATTTTTAAATTGAAGTGATATTTTATGTCAAAACACTGATCAAGAATAACTACTGAGCTTACCATGCCAGCTTTTTTTTTTTTTTTTTTTTAACCCCCCAAACCCCCTGAAAAA